ACACACACACACACACACACACACACACACACACACCCACACACACACACACGTGAAAGATACCGACAATCATTCATTTCCTCAGATTTGGCAAATGATCTTGATTTTTACACTTATTTCATTTGTTTCTAAACCTACTAAGTGTTGTTTTGTACATGTGAACGTTCCTATAGTTGCACACTCTCTCAAAAAGGTAGAAAATAACATGATGATAATGCAACTCGAGCATACGATAAACTTTACAATAGAAGCTTTACATAAACCGGCTGTCTAGATCAGTCCGCCAGCTCCACACACCATAAACAGATTTGTGTTTTGTTTGGAAACCCTTCTGAACATTGGAGCGCGTGCAGACGAGCGATACAATCACATTTGCCGCTAAGAGTAAGACACACGTTTGCAGCACCGCAAACATCCTCCAGCTCCTTCTGAAAGCACGCGAGGACCTGAAGCTCGTGAATAGAATGTTTCTATTATCCACCTTTACAACACTGATGTGAAATACTCAAAGAAAACAGGCCTACAGTGAAGAACGTCTCGCACACATCTCATAGTGTTAACAATACATTAGTGTTTGACAGGGATGCACTGATTCAGTTTATCTGATACATGTGTTTATTATGGCCAATATTATGAATATACACTGTAAAAAAAGATTGTTTGAAGTTGTAAAAGAAAGAATATTGGAGTATGTTTAACAAGCAAATACTATTTTAGGCTCTCTACTAAAATGTCATGTTTAATTCAAAGTGTTACTTGCCATTTCTTTGTAATCAGTTCTGAAATTTACAGATTTTCTGAGTGAAAACTATTTTCTTGTTTCTATGCCAAGATTATATATATATATATATATATATTAGTTTATACACCAGTTTTTTCAGAGTAGTTTTTTGTCTGTTAAACAAATTGTAAGAAAAAAAATATATATTTTTTTCTTGATAAAGATGCTTGTTGTAAGATTTTATATTTAAAGAAACTTTTATTTCTACACCATTCTTTTCAGTGTTTTTTTTTAATGACAAGCAACCTCAAATTTAAGTATTATGCTTTTCATGTAAAATTCGATTTCTTTCATGTGTAATAACACTATAGTTTAGTATATTTGCAACCTGTTATAGAAAAATATTTTTTAAACAGTGTAGGCTATTTATTTATTTATTTATTACATTTTATTTTAAGAAATCTGTTTAAGTTGGGGAAAAAACAAGCCCTGATTTTATCCACTTGCAGTACAGGCTTGATAATATTGTCCATTACCGATATAGTCACAGATACACAGTGCATCATTAATATTTCTACACCTGAAACCCTTTTAAACCACCTGTAGCACCAAACGCTCATCAAATCTCAGGGTTTCTTAGCGACTGAGAGGCGTGCGAAAGAAAAGAGCTGCTCTGAGACTCACTGGCATTGACCTTGGCGTGTGTTCGGTCGACAGACGCGAGCGTACGGCTGAAAACGCTCCTCTGGGATCACGCTAGCAGAGCAGAAGGCCTGTGGAGGGAGAGCGAGCGTTTAAAGTGACGGCAGTGTACCATGTGATTCTAGAATACCGTAGTGAGCATCTTTTATTGCTCTCAAGTGCAAAATTAGTGACTTACATCGACGCAGTAACCACAAGAATCTCGAACACTTCCATATTTGTGAAATAGAGAGTAAAACATCACAGCATTGGTGAATGAGGTCTGCTAAACCGTCGTAGTGTTTCCTCATCTGTACCTGTTTGACTTGACCATTTCAGACCTGCGTTTTCCCGCCACAGATGGCATGTGTTGAGCCAAAGAATGCAGATCAGTGCACTTGTAAAGTACAAAATAATATAGTACATATTCTTTATATATATATATATATATAGATATATATATATATATATATATATATATGAGCGAATCTCACAAAACGTGTCCCTTCTAGGTCATATTTCACTCTAAATCAAAAAAAATGATGAACATATATTTTGCATAACAAAACTGAAGCTTCTTAGTGTTTGAAAAACTTAAGATTGTAAAATAGTTTTTGAAGAAATCTCTTCTGCTCACCAAGGCTGCATTTAATTGATAAAAAATACAGTAAAAACAGTAATATTGTGACATATTACTATTTGAAATAACTGTTTACTATGTGATTATATGTTAAAAAGTATTTTATTTCTGTGATCAAAGCTGAATTTTCAGCATCATTACTCCAGTCTTCAGTGTCACATGATCTTCAGAAATCATTCTAATATGCTGATTTGCTGCTCAAGAAACATTTCTGATTATTATCAATGTTGAAAACAGTTGTGCTGCCCAATATTTTTGTAGAAACTGACATACTTCCGTTCAAAAGTTTGGAGTGAGTAAAAAATCATAATAATAATAATAATAATGCTTTTATTTAGCAATGATGCATTAAATTGAATAAAATTTAATAATGTTAGAAAAAATATATATTTCAAATAAATGCTGTTCTTTTGAACTTTCTATTCATTAAAGAATTGTGATAAATCAAATGTATCATGGTTTCCACAAAAATATTAAGCAACTAAAACATTGATAATAATATGAACTATTACTAATAACTGAGCACCAGTATTGACTGATAATAATTGAGCAGCAAATCAGCATATTAGAATGATTTCTGAAGATCATGTGACACTGAAGACTGGAGTAATGATGCTGAAAATTCAGCTTTGATCACAGAAATAAAATACTTTTTAACATATAATCACATAGTAAACAGTTATTTCAAATAGTAATAATATGTCACAATATTACTGCTTTTACTGTATTTTTTTTAAATTGCAATAATATTTCACATTTTTCCCTCTATTTTTGTTCAAATAAATGCAGCTTTGGTGAGACTGGTGAAAAATTGTAATTATTTTGAGTTTGCATGTATAAAACAGGCTTAATTTGGAATATAATGATTTATGTGTTTATATTCAGTAGTGAAATGTGACCTAGACGTGTTTTGGAGAGATAAACATTGGGTCACATGGGCAGGTCAGTACTGTTGTGTCGTGTTTTCCTGGATGTGCCGTCGTCCCGCGGCTGTGCTTTCTGCAGGCTGGACATGGCGGCGGTGCGCTCGATGTCGATGACGGCGTACAGCTCCGTCCGGCGTGTGGGGGTGGGCGGCAGGGGCGTGGTGGGCGTTTTGGGGGTGTGCGGCCCGCTGGAGTCCGACATTTTGTCCATCTCCACCTCGATGTAGTTGAGCTGGCCGAGCCTGCGGAAGTCGAAGTTGAATACGGTGGGCTGAGTGCTGTGGAGTTTGTGTGCGCTGAGTGGCACCGTGACGTTCTCCGTGTTCACGTAGTTGTGATCGAGGGAGTGGAAGCCGTTCAGAGACGGAGATTTGAGTTCCTCCTCGTCCTCCGCCTCGCTGTTGGGTTTGCGGGTCTCCCAAACGGGCGGCAGCACCGGCAGGTTCTCGTAGTTGAGCAGCACAGTCCGCCGCTGGGCTGAGTTGTTAGCGTTGTGGGCGTCTGGGAGTGGAACGGGAGGTCTGTTGCGTCTCGCTCCGGTTCCACCGTTATAAATTATAATTGATAGTATTTTATTATATCATATTAGTTATATCATATCATATAACTAATGTAGTTAAGTGTTAGCGTGTGTGTTGCGTACCGTCTCGTCGTTGAGCAGCAGTGGGTGTGTGGACTCCTCCCCTACTGACGGTAAGCGACCCGTGTCGCAGTCCGTGCCGCCGTTTACAGTTTTTGCGGGAGAAGCGGCGTCAGTACTTGGGCCCACCGCTCCCGTGTCCTGCTCGCCCAGCTCTTGCGGTCTCTCCTGGAGCAGTCTCTGGATAGGCGTGGGGCCTAAAACAAACTTCACAGCCTCCAGCTCCAGAAGCACGCGTGGCTCCAGCTCATTGGGCGATGCTGGGGCTGCGCTCTCTGGATTGGACGTCCGGAGCTCGAGAGGGGCATGGCCACAGCCGCGAGAGCGCCGCTCCTCTTGTAGACCCGTCGTGTTGACGTAAGTGTGCACCTGCACAGACATCGGTCATCAGAAACAGAAAAAGATAAACTAGAGTTTTATGGTTTCTTATGAAATATGAGCAGCACTTGTCTGCACGAAATTTGCTGCCAAAACGGCATAAAAGTATCCATTTAAAAAGGACACAATAAAATATATAATACTTCAATCAATCAATCAATCAATCAATAATAAATCCATATTATACTTAATACTTAAAATATAAAAAATACTTTACTACTGAAATACAAAAACAACCTAATACTTAATATAATACATATATAAAACATACAATCATTTATTTATTTAAATATTATTTAATATTATAAAATATAAAACAATAACAATTATATTATTAGTTTTATATCTTTTAAATTCATGTGTGAATTTATAAAATTATATATATATATATATATAGAAAGAGAATGTGTCTATATATATTATATTGATAATGTTTTATATCTTTATTTTTAAATATGAATATAAATATTTGAATATTTATTAGTACTGTCACGTGATTAATCGCATCCAAAATAAAAGTTTTTGTTCACATATGTGTGTACTGTGTATATGAGTGCTGCCCACTGAAGGGTGACGGCTGGACGGCCGCGAGGAGGCGTCGCCGAATGACGGGTAGCGACCGATCCCATTGGCTACCGTCGGGACGGAGTAACCAGGAGCTGCAGAGAGAGCAGTGGAGGGGTCAGTGAGAGCCTCCAGTCTGAGCGTGAGCACTGGAGTGTGTGTGTGTGTGTATGTGTGTGTGTGTGTGTGTGTGTGTTCTTACTGGTGGGAGTGTGAGGCATCACTGGAAGCTCGGGCTCCAGCACCGGCTCCTCCACCACAATGAT